ATTACTCTTGCCTCACATCGTCTGGGCTTGCCACTGACCTGGCAGGGGTCTCCTCGGGACAGATCCAGCATGTGGAAGAGCAGACCCAGCTCACAGCCCAGGCAGAACTCCTTCTGGCACAGGTGGTTCTGGACCAGGCAGCGGACGGGCTCCAAGAAATACAGCACCTAGCAGAGACAGAGGCATCAGGAGCAGCCCTGTGGCTGCGACGGCCCCGGCGGGGCTGGGCACCTCCCACCTGGATCATGCAGTTGCAGTAGGCGTTGGGGATGTGGGGCTCCAGGCCTGCAAACAGAGTCTTGTTATAATGCTTGAAATCAAAATCTTCCAGCCCCAGTTTGGAGTATTTGATTGTGACCTGGGGAGAGATGCAGCGTGTCAAACAGACGCGCTCCCGCGCCACAGGGCATCCACAAAACGTCCAGGCCTCCCCACGGAGACGTGAGCTGGTGCTTGAGCCCACGAGGGTCCTTCAAAGGTTACCTTCCTGTACTTCTTGGCCACCATGTAGAGGTGAGGCTCCTCCTCCCGTCCAATCGGGGACTCGGGAACTTGGCTGAAGCTGTCAAACTCATTGTCTGCCTCTTTTAACCGATAGGGGATCTGGGAGGGAGAGGAGAAGGGAAGAGCAGCTGAATCCTGAGGTGAAGCACCGCGAACCGAAACAAGCAGCTCCTGGGCTTTCCTGCCTCCCCAAATGAGCAAATGAATAAACCAGAAAGGAGCGGGGCCCTCCCTTAACCTGCACGAGTCCTCCACACCTTCCTTCTTACGAGGGACTTATCACTGTGGGGAAACTACAGCGGTGCTGCGGGCAGGGGCGAAACGCAGCAGTGCTTTCCCGAGGGCAGGGACACGGCACGTCCACAAACCTGCAGAGCAAACGGCTCAGAGCTTCCCTGCCACAGAGCGAGGTGCCAGCAGCCCCGGGCGCAGCGCCCTGCTGAGAGCTCGTACCTGGTTGCGGAGTTTGGTCCTGGGGTTTGGGGCGTAGCCGATGAACCCCACTTTCTTCATGGTGCGCAGAATCTCGGGATCTACTGGAGGAGCTCGCCTACAAAACACCGCGACTCAGAGGCCGTCCTGCCTGGCAGCGCCGCGTAACGCAGTGCTGGATGTGCCCAAACACCACCAGTGGGCCACAGGGGCTCCTCTCATCCAACCATTCCCCCCCAGAAACTCAGTGTTCCTTTTCAGCCACGATAAAATGCCGGCCCAGCACAACGCCGGCCGCCCCCAGCCCTGAGCAGGGGGGGATTCTGTCCACACCGGGGCAGCCTTGCCGATTACCGGGGCGCCGGGGCAGAGTTGGCAGCAGGCCAGTCTGACAGCAGGCTCTCGCTGGTCAGCGGCACGGGGATGAGCGAGAGCGGCACGAGGTCCTGGTTCCAGTCCAGGTGCGGCAGCGTGTCGACGATGCAGGGCAGAGCAAAGTCAGTCTCCCGGGAGTAGGTGTTGAAGGTGACCTCCGGGGAATCGGCCCAGAGGTGCACGCAGCCCTCAGAGTCACCAAACGCCAGGGCCTGCTTGCTGGCCGAGACGTCGAAGGTCATGATGAGAGGCCCCACGGTGTTCACGTGGAAGATGTCGGCCGGGTTGGCCAGGCCGGTGGGCTCGCAGAACTGGCACTGACCTGCAGGAGGGAAGCGCGGGGCGAGGCGGCGTCAGGGAGCAGGAGAGCAGAGCGGCACGCCGCCCCCCCAGCACGGCCCTCGCCGGCTGGGCGCAGAGCGAGCGCCCCGCAGCCCCGTCCCACCGCGACTCAAGGCCCGCCCAGGGCAAAGCGGCTTCCCCACCTGTCTGGGAGATGATGGCCAGGCGGGAGGTGTAGGTGGGGATGAAGCGCAGGAAGAAGGGGTCGATGTGGACCTGCAGAGGGGTGGTGGCTCTCATCATGCGCAGGTCGTACACCTTCAGGAAGCGGTCGCAGGCCAGGCCGTTCATCCGGCTGGAGAAGCCGCAGGTCACCAGCAGGTTCCCGTGGACGTCGAAGTCAGATAAGCTGCCCGAGTAGGCATCAAACTCGTGTTCCACCACAAACGTGCGCAGATCCCTCAAGGAGACCTGGGAGGTAAGGCAGGGGTGTGAAGGGGAGCCCTGTGAGCTCTGGGAAACCGATCCCGGGGCACCTTGCGTCAAGGCGTCACCTTGCCCGAGGTGTGTCCGCAGAAGAAGAAGCGGTTGGACTGCCTCATGATGGTGATGCCAGGCACCTCCACGGTGTACTGGGAAGCACAGAGCAGCAGGTGAGCAGCAGGCAAAGCGCAGGAGGCGGCGCGGGGCCGGGCACCGGCGGTACCTTCTGCGTCTCCTGCACGGTGTTGAGGTCGATCTCGATCACGTGGTTCTGCAGCCCGCCGACCAGCAGAGTGCTGCTGTCCGTCAGCAGGAGGCTGTGCATGTCCTCGGCCTCATCCATGCTGCGGAGGAGAAAGCACAGCCTCTGCACTCCCACTGAGCTCCGGGACACAGCAGGGAAGGCATCTGCCATCCTGCCCTCGTTCTCCTCCCAGGCTGAGCTTTTACGCTGCAGGAAGGGAGCGGAGAACTCCTCCACAAACGCACTGTGGCCGTTCCCTCGTTCTCAGCTGCCAGGGCAAAGCACTCACAGGTAGTCAAATATGATGAGGCCTCCTCGTGACATGCACTTCAGGTTGGTTTTGGTCAGGAAAAGGACCCCGCTCTCCAGGCTCTGGATCTGCCGGATGTCGTCGCTGCTGTTCACTTGGAAGGAGGAGTAACGCTCCAGCGTTGGGCCAAAGAACGAGGTGGCGTGGCCCTAAAAGCAGCAGGACAGGATCATCAGGACCCTGGGGACAACACAGGCAAGCACTGCTCTACTCCGTACCAGTCGGGTCGAAGCAGGCTGCCTTGCTGCCGCTTAGAGAAGAGATTCCTGCCCCTCTGTCTCAACAGAACCACGAGAGGTTGTTCAGACTTTCCTTTTTTTGGCAGATGTGAGTAAAGAACCAAAAGCTCCCCCAGCCCAAGAGGTCAGGGCTGCAGCACCTGGCGGCTCTTTGGCAGACAAACAAGGCCGAGCATTTCTCATGCTCCGGGACACGTCACCCACTTCCAGCTCTCTGCATCTACGTGGCTCAATTCCCAGTTACAAGCCGGAATTTCCAGCTCAGGCCCCTCTCCACGCCAGCGCTCCATTCACCACCAGTCTGCCTCCAGCAGGTTGAAGCACACACGTCTGGGGCTGCAGCCGCCTCGGGCCACCTACCCCATGATTCCCAACCCACAGCATTTCTTCATGGAGGTCGAAATGGGAGACGGAGACGGGCACGCCCACTTCGGAGACGGCGGTGTGCAGCTCGCTATACATGCCCTCCACGATGTGCACAGACTCAGGCACAGCAATGCCCTCTAAGGGCACCCCCTCGGGGTCCAGCTCCACGTTCTGCAGCAGGCTGGGGTTGAGGTGGGGGTCCAGGACGGGATCCAGCGCCGGGTGCAGCGTGGGAGCATACTCAGCAAGGGAGGGGTCGAGACCTTCAAAATTCATGGTGAAAACCAACGTCTCCCTTCGGAACAGAAAAGGAACTAAGTTGGTCAGTCAGAAACACCAAGGGCCGCGATTCTTAGAAACACCGCGCGGGGCCGCTGACTGTAGGGCCGACGGAAAGGCGCTGGAATCTCCGCCGAGCAGAAGGCGCGCCTCTCCGGGCCGCGCTCACGGGCGGCGCCGCGGCAGCACCGTAAAGTCCCTCCCAGGGACGCGCTCAGCGCCACGCCACGGCCGCGAGGACGGAGCCCGCTGCCCCGCGCCCGTAGGAAGGCGGACCCCCGCCCCTCTCCCGGGGCCCCACAGCCGCGGGCGCGGCCTCCCTGCACCTCCACCCCCAGGGCCGCCCCGGGCGGGAGGGCCCCGCGCCAACCCCGCACCTGCCCCTTATCTCTGCGGCCGGCGCGGGGCGGGCGGGCGGTATCGGCTCCCGCAGACCCGCGGCCGTTGGCTGCGAGGCGCGCCCGGTTAGGGCCGGCCCAGCACGGCGGGCCGGGCGCTTTCCGCGGAGCTCCCAACCGGGAGCGTTACCCACAACCCCCCGCGCTCCGGCCAAGGATCCCACGCTGCCGCGCACGGCGGGAGCGGCGGCGGCGGCCGTCACGTGGAGCGCCGAACGCTGCCGTTACCGAACGGCCCCGGGCGGAGCCCGCCGGGAGCGACCCGGCCCGTCCCGCCGCGCCCCTCCTCACGTCGCTATGGCAACCGCACCCCCCGCCGTCCGGACCGGAAGTCGGCCCGATCCTGGGGCCGGCGAGCCAATGGCAGCGCGGAGTCTCGTGCGCTGGCCAATCAACGCCTGAGAGAGGCGGGACAAAGCGTTCGTGCCGGACGGTGCGACGGAGGGGCCAGAAAGCTGCGGATGGCGTTTCGCGGTGCGGGAGCGGTGGTCCGGGCAGCGCTGTGTTCCCACCCGGCACCGCGGCCAGGCCGGGGGCTCCGGGACCCCCCATGGAGCCCCGAATGTTGCATGTGCCACGGCCCCCCGACGGCCCCTGCACTGTCCCCCGTTGACACACTGTCTCGCCGTGTCCAACACTGTCCTCTCCCGGTATCCCCGGTCCGTGACTGCGGAGCCCTCCTCACGCTCAGCGGTGCCACAGAGCTTTCCTCGCCCCCCGGAGCCCCGCGGGGACGGGGACGCTCCCGTAGAGCTCAGCAGTGGGGAACCGGAGGGCGGTGGAGAGCGGGGTCACAGACCCCATCCCCGAACCGGAGCTCAGGACGCGGCGCTCCCTGTGGGGGTCCCGGTGGGACCGAGGGTCAGGCAGCCGCTGAGCCCCGGGGTCGGTACGCGGCGAGGACGCGGCCCGTCGGGGGGGGCCGTGTCTGGGGAAGGCCGGGGGCAGCCCCTCCGGGCGGGGACCGGGAAGCGCAGGAGCCGCCCTGTCGGGGCCGCCGCGATTGCGGAGCCGCGGGCAACGCGGGGGAAACGGGGGCTGGGGGGGAGCAGCCGGGTGTCCCGAGGCAGCGGCAGCGGGGCAGCACCGGGACCGCCGCAGCAGTTTCCCCTGTGGGCACCGGGCATACGGAGCGGGGACGTGGGGACATCGGGGAAGCACTGCGGGACACCTGCCGGCCCGCCCCGGCCCGCCCTGCAGTGTGCGGAACCGCGCCCGTCCCGTCCCACCGCGTCCCGGGAGCGGATCCGAGCGGAGCGATGCGGTGCGGTGCGGCGCGGGCTCAGGTGTGCTCTGCTCCGTCCGCGCGGCCGCCGGGCGTGGAGCCACCAGGAACTGCCCCGGGTTTTCCTGCCCGTCCCGTCGGGGCGCGGGGCCGGAGCGGGCGCGGCGGGGCGCAGCCCGGGGACCCCGGCCCGGTATCGGTTCTGCTTTCGGGGGAGGCGGCGATTTCGCAGTAACGGGGGGCGGGTGCCACCTGCCCCGGGGATTCCCCACCTGCCGCCGCCCCATAAAAGACGATGGATCCGCCGGTGGCCGCACTGACCCGATCGGACCCGCCCGGCCATGGTCCCGCTCCGCCGCCTCCTGCTCGCACTCTGCCTGCCGGCGATGCTGCTGCCGCCCGCGGTCCCGTTCCCGGCTCCGAGAACCGACTGGGCCGCCTGCAGGGACCTCTCCCAGCGGCTGTCGCGGCTGTTGGGGACAATGAAGGAGTCGCACCGGGTGCTGGTGAGAGCCGGGACGGAGTTTGGAGGGGCGGGGAGACGGGGAGACGAGGGATGCTACAGGAATGGGGAGAACAGGGGGGACTCGGGGAACCGGGGCTGCTCCTGGAACCGGAGCTATGGGGCACAGAGGATCTGGGGGTACTGCGATGCTCTGGCTGCCTGGGGAGAGCCAAGGTGCTATGGGGTCCCTGTTAACCCTGCTGTCAGGATGCTGTCCGTCTGGGTGGAGAGGAGGACTCCGAGGGGGACTGTGCCCCCCGCATCCGCTGCAGTGATGCCTGTGACCCCTCCACGCTGGACACAAACAGCACGGTACCGGGGCGGCTGGGAGGGTGGGGGGGGGCAGGGGTATCCTTGTAGCCAAAGCCCAGGGGGTCTTGTGGGGTGCATGGATGCTCTGGGGTGCATTGCGATGTATGAAGGGTCCTGGGGGGTCTCAGGGGTGCTGGGGGCCCCAGAAGCACTAAGGGAGTACTGGGGGAGGGGGGGAGGGGAGCAGTGATGCTGGAGATGTTCCTGGGGGCATCTCGGAAGCACCCAAGCGATGCGCTTGGAGGTGTCAGGGTAACCTGGGGGTCAGGGCGCCAGGACAAACCGGGGGGTCTCGGGGCTGTTGGGGTCCACAAGTTCCTGGGGGTCGCTTTGGGGACGTGCTCAGAAGCCCAGCATCTTCACAGCCTCCTCCCCCCCCCAACCCCCAGCTCTGCCTGCAGCGCATCCTGCAGGGGTTGCAGCACTACCAGGCCATGCTGGGCTCCGACATCTTCGCCGCACGCCCGCAGCCAGAGCTGAAGGCGGTGCTGGAGGAGCTGCTGGGCCTCGTGCAGGTGAGCTGACCTCGACCCCGACCCCGACCTTAACATCAACCCCGACCCAGAGCCCCCTGACCCCTCTCTCCCTGCAGGTCCCCATCCGTTCCTGCCAGGCCCCCCCGCCCCCCCACGCAGACCCCTGGGCCCGGCCGCTGCTGCAGCACGACACGCTGGAGCGGCTCCGCTCCTTCACCGCCGTCATGAGCCGCGTCTTCACCCACAGCGCCAGCGCCCGCTGACCCCCCGCCCCCCCTTAATTTATTTCTTATTTATGTGCCGCGCTCCCTATTTATACGGGGTATTTATGGGTTTCTAATAAAGGGCCGGGCAACGAGGAGCCGCTCTCTGCTACAACGCCGCACCGGGGCCGCCCTAACAGCACCGCGGGCTGATGGGGAGGAAGGGGTTTATTTACACGAGGGGCCGGGAGGGGTCACTGGAAGTCGCTGGCGTCGATGTGGAGCGGTGGGAAATCGCCGTCCGCGGTGAAGAGGGAAGCGGCGGCGGGCAGGGCCGCGTCCTCGGGCTGCGGCAGGAAGGGGTCGCTGGAGTCCAGGAGCGCGGCGCCGTCTGTGGGATGGGGGGGGGGGGGTCAGCGCCGAATGATCCCCAGCCCCACGGCCCCCAGCACCCACCGTCGGATCCACGCACCGTCCAGGGCGGGCAGCAGCTCCACAGCCTCCAGCGCCGGCTCCTGCAGCGGCAGCCCCTCCAGCTCCCCCAGCCCCGACGGCTGCAGCCCCAGGGCGCCGTCGTCCAACAGCAGCTCTGCAGCACCGCTCCCCAGCAGCGGCCCTACGGCGTTGCCCTCCGCGGGCCGCACCCCCTGCCCCCCGGGCACCGCCGGCAGCAGCTGCAGCACAACGGGCGGCCCCAGGTCCCCCATCCCTGTCTGCAGCACCGCCAAACCCCCTGATCCCAGTGGCTGCAGGGATGGCAGCACCGGGACTGCGGCCACCACCTGCTGCAGCCCCGGGCTCACGGCCTGAGGTGTCCCGGGGGTCCAGCTCCCCCCCAGCAGCGTCCCTGGGCTCACAGGCTCTTGCCCACCGCCCTTCAACTGCAGCGTCTCCAGGTCCTCCGTGGCCACCACCAACTCCTCCTGCGTCTGCCACGTCTCGTGGGGCTGCCTGTGGGCACAGCGGGGGATGGAGGTCGGGTGGGGGGCGAGGGGGTCCATCCCTGTGGGGCTGGGGGCGAGGGGGGGGGCTCACCTGGAGGATACGCGGATGAGGCGCTGGTTCAGGTATTCCTTCTTCTTGGTCAGGATCCCTGGGGGCAGGGAGGGCAGTTGGAAGGGGGCAGTGGGCGCTGCCCCCCAAGCCGTGCCGTGCTGCACGCGCCGTACCCTCGTGCCGTTGGCTGTAGTAGGGCCCGAAGGCTTCGTCACGGGCGATGTCAGGGTAGAGGAAGAGCAGCGGGTTCTCGGGGATGTTCTCCTCTGCCAGCAGCTGGTAATCGCGGATGATGTCGGGCAGCGCCAGTGATGCCAGCTCGGCTGCGGTGTAGGGGACGACAGCACGGAAGGCGGGGGGTCCTACGGGGGGGGTGGGAGGTCAGCGGTGGGTGTGAGGTCAGACCGAGGGGGGTCCGGGGCTGCGCTCACCGCTCTCAGGGTGCTCCACCCAGGTGCAGGTGACCCCCCCCAGCGTGCTCTCGCTGAACCGAATCAGGAACGTCCCCGACCGCTTCACCTTCAGCAGTTTCTTTTCCTGTTTGCGGCTCACGAAGCCCAGGATGAGCCTGGGGGGGGGTGGGGGCACGGTCAGCTCCTGCAGCCCCGCAGCCCGACCCCCCTGCACCCAGGCCGTACCCGTCCTTCCAGAGCTGCTTCAGGTGGTCGTGCAGCAGCGCCAGGATCCCGTCCAGCCAGGCCCAGAAGGAGAAACCTGCAGCACCGTCCTGCAGGATGGGGACATGAGGATGTGGGATGGGGATGTGTGAGATGGGGGCGAGTCAGGATGGACGGGGACACGTGGGATGGGCACGGCTCACCTTGGAGAACTTGGTCCAGGGCAAGGCGCTCTCCGGAGATGGCTTTGAGCCTGGGGGGGCGCAGAATAGGGTGAGTGAGGGGGGCTGGGCTGGGGCCGGGGGGCTCAGGGATGCGGGGCCGTACCGAAGAGCTTCTCAGCCAACATGTGCAGGTGCTCCCGGCTCAGGCCACGCTCAGTTGTGCTCTGGAACTGCCAGCTCAGCACCTCCGCCAGCCGGGGCCACGGGGCTGGGGGTGGTGTGGAGAAGAACTGCTGGTCCTGTAGGGATGGCAGCGGAGGAAGGGATGGGACTGAGATGGATGGGGGGACAGGCAGGGATGGGAGGAGGACAAACACATGGGACAGATGTACGGAAAATGGAATAGGGTGTGGGGTGAGACCAGCACAGGGGCCAGAGCATGGGAACAGACACAGCACAGGACACACAGAGACAGGGATGGGACATTAGGACTGGGATGTGGGGCGATGGGTCAGGCAGGGGGGTGGGGGTAAGGGGGACAGCGTGGGGGCTGCTTGCCTTGGGGTTGGGGCTCAGCATGTTGAACCAGAGCACGGAGGCCCAGGCGCTGGAGAGCTGGTTGTTGTTGGAGATGATGACGAAGGGCAGTGTGGAGGTCTGTAGGGGGGGTGGGGGTCATTACAGGCAGCCCCGACACCCAGACACATCCCCCCCCTCCCCAAAACTCACCTCCAGCTTCAGCTCCAGCCCGCAGTATGCATACGCCAGCGTGAAGGTGATGAGGTGAAGCTCCTCAGTCACAGCCAGAGGACCCTGCACAGGATGGGAACCCTCGCCCACTGCTCACCCTGCGCCCCCTCCCCAAAACCCACACCCACCTCATTGGTGCCTCTGCTGCCTTTGCCTGATCCTCCGCCCTTCTGTTCCTTCAGCGTCTGCGGGGGGGTGGGGGAGGTCAAAGTGGGGCTGGGGGTCAGGTGGGGCTTGGGACGGAGAGGACCCAAGCAGGGGTCCCAGATGGGGAGGACCCAGCGCAGGAAGGGGGACGCATACGAGGTACTGGAAGTCGCAGACCAGCCCCTCCCGGGGGCTGTCCCCAACCAGGACGGTTTTGCTGCTCGAGGTCAGAATGTTGAATTTGCGGAAGCTGTGGGGCAAAGGGAGGATGCAGATGGGGGCCGCTGCAGCCGACACCCCCCGGGATGCTGATGCTCCTCTGAGGACACCAGGAATCCCCCCTGAGGTCCCGTTCCTGCCGCCATTGCCGGCACTCAGCTCTCACCCTCGCGTCTTCGGCGGGTCCCTGCAAAAGGCAACACGGAGTCAGCTGCAAGCCTGGCCCAGGACCCCAACGGGGGGCGGCGGGACCCGGAGCCCCCGACCTGTCGATGTGGATGTTGGCCTCCATGCGGTGGTTGCGGTCATGCAGGCGGACCAGCAGGCGGGCGCGCGTGCAGAACTTGTTGGCTGTGCGCAGCACCAGCGGGCGCTTGGGGGTGTTGGGCATGCAGGGCTGCTGCTCCACCACGAAGGCACTGCGGGCGGGGGGGGTCTCAGAGCAGCTCCATCGCATCCCCAGCCCCCCCGCGCCGCGTCCCCCACCTCTGCAGCAGGCAGGTGAGCTGCTCCTGCAGCCGCTTCTCCAGCAGCGGCAGCTCTGACTGCAGTGGGTCCTGCTCGTAGGTCACCTTTTGCCGCAGCTCTCCCGCTGCCCGCAGCAGCTGCAGCAGCTGGAAGAGCCCCTCGCCCAGCGCCGTGAACCTGCAGGCAGTGGGGGTCAGCAGAACACGGCCCCCCCCACCTCCCCCAGCCCCCCAGCCCACCCCTACCAGCCCTGCAGCTGCAGCAGGCAGGTATCAGCGGGGGCTCCCAGGCAGCTGCGCTGCTGCCTCTCACGCCACGCGCTCAGTTCCTGCTGCAGGAAGTCCCGCAGGGTCTCGCTGCGCCCCAGCAGCTGCTGAATCTGTGCCACCACCTCCTGCAGGGACACCGGGTCTGGCTGGGGGCGCCCCGCAGCTGTGCCCCCCCATCCCCATGGCCCGGCTCTGCCCTCGCTCACCCGCCGCTGCCGGTCCAGGGACTGCAGCTTGGCCTGGAGTGCTTGGATGTGCTGCGCGTACTCCGGGTCGTGGGAGTGGTCCTGGCCTGCAGCGGTGGGGAGGGGCTTTAGGGGGTGCAGGGAGCGCTGGCTGTGCCTCCCCCCCCCGAGGCGCAGCCTTACCCGGCATGCAGTACATCTTATAGCTAAAGTCAAAGGTGTCCTGGAGGTCCTCCATGTGTCGGAATGCACGCTCAGCTTCCTGGGGATTGGGGGGGAGTGAGGGTCTGCGCATCCCCATGGGCTGGGGGACCCCGGGGAGAAATTACCTGCAGGGCGGTGCGGAATTCAGCCAGGCGCTGCTGGATCTCCTGCTCCTGGCTGCTCTGTGGGGCCGTGCTGGGTGCCGGGGGGGTCTCCGCCTATGAGACAGGGGGGGTTCAGGCACCGGGTGGCTCAGCTCTGCCGGCTGGGGGTGGAACCCACCCTACCTGCCCCTTCGCCTGCGCCCTCCGCAGGACGCACCGCTCCTCCTGCAGCAGATTGGCCACCAGGTTGGCAAAGTTCTCGGGGTGCTCCTCGAAGGCAGCCTGTGGGGTGTGCGGGGGGGAGGGCTGTCAGCGCGCATCAAGTTCCCATTGCACCCATAGATCCACCCCCCGTCCCCCCCCACCCAGCCACCCACCTGCAGGTCGATGCGCGCCTTGCGCAGGTTGTGCTTCAGCATGAAGTCCTCATCCCCCGGCCCCAGGCTGCCCAGCTGCTCCCCCAGCAGCGTCAGCAGCGAATGGAACAGCATCCGCGCGTGGGACGAAAAGGGCTCGGCCGCCTGCTGCCTGCGGGACCGCTCAGTGCCTGCCCCACGGGGACCCCCCATCGCCCCACGGTATCCCCCCGCCCCACGGTTCCCCCCGTACCAGTCTTGGTCCTCGATCCAGTCCGCCAGGCTCTGCCGGACGGTCATGGGCAGCGCGGCGTTGGTGTACAGTTGGTGAACGCGCTCCAGGTGGGTGGGGGGCAACTGCTGCACCTCCTGCCACTGCGCCATGCTGGGGGGCGGGGGGGCAGGGCGTGCTGCTGGGACCCCTCCGGCTGGCGGGGAGGGAAGCGGTGCCGCTCACACCGCACGCCCACCTCCCCCCCCGGCTCCCTCCGCTCGAGCTCCGTGCTGGGGGCTCGTGCTGGTGGTGCAGCCCCCCCCCCCTACCCCCCCCCCCCCAGACTCCTCCCGTCCCGCCGCTGCACGGCACCCAAAGGCCCCACCCAGAAGCGCCCATCGGGTGGCCACCCCCGGCCCCGCACCCCTGGTGGCGACCCCCGCACCCCGCACCCAGGGTGGCGACCCTGATCCCGATCCCAGTATCGGACCTGGACTCGGCTCCCCGCTCCCGACTCCCGGCTCGGTCCAGGTCCCGTCCCCGCACCCCGCGCCGTGGCCACGCCCCCTCCCACCGGCTTTGCGCGGTGATTGGCGGAGCGCGGCGGAGAGGCCACGCCCCTCGGGGCGGGCAACGCGGGAGTTCCTGCGGGCAGCTCCGCTTCCCCGAAATGACGACGGGGGGCGGGGCCACGGCGGGGGCGGGGCAGAGGGACAGGATCTGCGGGGTGGGCGTGGTCATTAAGCGAGTGGGCGTGGCCGCGGGCAAAAGGGGGCGGGGCCGGCGGGCGGTCGCGGAAGGAGACGGCGGAGCCGGGTGGGGGTCGGCAGCGGGAGCGCAGGGGACGGAGAGTTGGGGGATGAGCCCGCAGAGTCGGAGCCGCGGGGCAGGGCCCGGGGGGCAGCGCCGTGGGGCAGAGTGCCGCCGTCCCCACGCCGGGCGCTGTCACCGCGCGCCCCGTCCAAGGCCGTCCCCGGGCCAAGGTCTCCGCGCCCTGGGGCGGCGCGGCCGCACCGACCGGGAAAGAGACATCGACAGGGACACGGGCGGGGACGCGCCTTTATTCACACCACGAGGACGGGGCCGCTGTGAGCGCTGGGCGCCGTCGGGGGTTCCCCGTCGGCGGTGAAGTACCCGTAGAGCGCGCGGACCCCCGCTTTGATGCCGGGCTGCAGCCCGAACCGGATGCCCACGGCCACGGGGCCGCCCCCGGTGAGCGCCGTCAGCGCCGCGTAGCCCAAATCCTCGGCCGCCTGCAGCGCCCGCTCGGACGCGAGCAGCTCGCAGCCCTGGAAGGCGAAGTAGAGGCCGCTGCCCAGGTTGTAGACGGCGTTGACGCCCGGCACCCACTCGAGCACCCCGTGCGCCTCGCGCTCCCCGGGCGGGCTGCACGCGTCGTCCTCCGCCTGCCGACGGCACCGGAACGTCCCGGTGCGGGTCTCGTTGCGGGGGAGAGCGCAGCGCCGCCGCAGTCGGGCCAGGCTGGAGAGCAGCGGCAGCGTGCGGTGCGCGGGGACGTCCCGCAGCCCCGCCAGACCCCGCAGGAGGGCGGTGGCCGCGGGGGGGCTCAGCTCCCGGTACAGCCCCCGCGCCGCCGCCTCCGCCTCCGCCTCGCACCCGGCCCCGTTCAGCGCCAGCGCCAACGAGGCGCGGGACGTGGCGCGGGGCAGCAGGGGGATGCGGGAGAAACCGGGGAGGGCGTCGGGGAGCAGCGCCCCGCACGGAACCCCCCGACCCCGCAGTGCCTGCAGGGGGGGAGCGACCTCCGCAAGCAGCCCCCGCACCGTCGCGGTCCCTCCGTCACCCCGCGGGGGCGCGGTGGTCGCGGTTTCCCCCCGGCCCTGGAGGAGGAGGAGGAGGAGGAGGAAGAGCAGAGCGTGGCCCATGGTGGCGGCTCGGGGGCACCTGCGAAGGTTTAGGGGGGGCGCAGCCGTCAGCCCACAGCTGCACCCCCACCCCTCCCCTCCCACCCCCAGCCCCCCGCTCACCGCTCGCAGTCACCGCTGTCCCCGCACCTCCGCCGCTGCGCTGCGCCCCCCCCTCCCCTCCACGGCCCCTTTATAACCGCCGCTATCAGCGGCCATTGCGACACACGGGGACAGAGCCCCGCACCGCCCCCCCGACAGCGCCGGGCACAGCCCAGAGACTTCGTGCATTGATTTATTTGGTGCCGTTCCCGATGTAAAACAGTGTCAGAAACAAACAAACAAACCCTAAATCCAAACCCCGGTGAAAAGGTAAAATGGGGACAAGGGAAGGAAAAGCACCGCGCCTTTAAAAAGAACTTAAAAACCCACAGAGAGCCCCCAAAACCGATAAACCTGTACAAAAAGCCCCAACAGCAGAGCGGGGGCATTGCAGGGACTGCTGTCCCGGGGAACCTCAATCTTCCTCCTCTTCCTCCTCCTCCAGAAGGCGGCAGACGCGTTTTCTTCTGCCCATGGGGTGGGGGTCCTCATCCTCCCCTGACGGGGGAGCCAGGGGGAGCAGCTCTGCCTCTACGGGAGCGGAAGGGGTCAGGGGAAGGGGCAGAAGGGAGGAAAAGCCCCCCCACAACCAGGGGAGGGGCTGCACCCACCCACGTCACCATCCTCATCCTCGCTGTCGAGCTGCCACCGCCGTTTGCTGCCTGATGGTGCGGGGATGGCGAGGGGCTCCTCGCTGTGGGGGTTTGTAGAGTCAGCAGAGCCCACGGGGGCACCGCGAGAACCCCGAGGCCACGGCCCCCACCCCGCCATGAGCGAGGACCTCACTCATGTGAGCGTTGTAGGGTCAGCACGTGGGACCCCAGCCTCACCTCTCTGAGTCCGACCCCAGCGGGGAGGGCAGCGGCTCTGCTGTGGGGCAGAGGGGCTCAGGGGAGGTTCCTGCACCCGTCACACTGCTCCCAGAGCCCCGGCCCACGCCTTCCCCTCCAGCGGGCTCCTGTGGTGCTGCTGGCAGCTCCTGGGGTGGCCCCTGAGGGCTCGGGGGGGTGACGGAGGCGGCCGCACGGCGCAGCTGCTGTGGGGTGAGGGCAGCAGGGATGCGCCAGAAGGACTCCTGGGGACAGAGGGGGGATGCTGTGGGCTGTGCCAGGAGCAATGGGGACAGAGATGGGGACAGGGGCATCACCTGCTCGTTGGCAGGGGGCCGCAGCCCCACCTCCCGCAGCAGAGCACGGAAGCCCCGGTCCTCCATGGCATCTTCGTTCTCCTCTGAGAGTGGCACCAACGGCACTGGGAAGGACATCCCTGGGGGGGGGGAAGCGCTGTCAGCCCGGCCCCTTCCCCATCCCCAGCCCTGTGCCCCCCCAGCCCCGCTCACCTTCTGTCTCACGGTCCCTCGCCGTCCTCCTCAGGCAGTTCTGCAGCCACCGCAGGGGCCCCTCCAGCCCTGGGGACGGCGGAGTCAGAGTGCAGCCCCACTGACCCAAAGGATTGGGGTCAAGCCTGAGGGGCGGTGGGGTCACATCCCCTTGCTCCCACCCACCTTCCTGCTGCAGGCGCTGCACCAGGGCCAGCCCCGTCCCCTCCTGGGGGTCCCAGGGCTCCTCCGTGGGGTCATCCTCTGCTTCACCTTCCTCCTCCTCCTCCTCTTCCTCCTCCTCGCTGTCCTCAGCAGAGCTGTTATGGGCTGACACCGCTGCAGCATCTGCCTCACCCTGCAGGGACCGTAACGCCTGGGTGCCTTGAGAGGAGGGGAAGGGGAACAGCACCCCTGGATTGGAGCCCCCCGGCCCCCCAACCCACGTACCGTCTGGGGGCCGCAGCTCTTCCTCCGGCGCTTCTTGTGCAGCTCCTTGCGCTCTGCCACCAACCCCATTGCCAGCAGCTTCTCCACCACCCGTGCCCGTGAGCGCCGTGCCGTCAGGTTCTTCATGATGTTCCCCAGGATGTCTGTGGGGGGGGGGTGTCAGTGTGGGTGGTCGGCAGGGTGTTGGACCCCCCCCCCCCCCACACCCTTCCCCTTGGAACCCGCTCACCATCCGATCCCCTGAACTCCTCAAAGAGCCGCTCCAGCTCCAGCTCCTGCTCCTCCGTCCACAGCACAATATTGGTGCCCTTCCTGGGGGGGGGAGGACACAACCCTGGGTGCCCACCTGGGCACACAGTGCTCCCCATCACGGGGGTCCCCACTTGGGGTCTCATCCCCACCTCGGCCGTGGGAAGTCCCTGGCGCTGCCCGCCAGCCCCATGCGCACCAACTGCTGCACCACCTGCCGCCGCGTGCGGCCAGGCAGCTCCGCCAGGATGGAGGCAATGATGTCCTGACCTGTGGGAGCGGGGGCTGCGAGAAGGGTCCATGCCACCCCCTGCCCCCCACGGCGCCCCCGTACCTTCTGCCTCCTTATACTTCCAGAACAGCTCCCGCAGCGCCTGCTCCTCCTGTGGGCTCCAGGCGGGGGTCCGACGTGCTCCAGCGCTGGGCAAAGGAGTGATGAGGGGAAGTCAGAGCTCTTCTCCCAGCCCACAGCCCTCTCCCCGTGCCCCCTGCCCCTCTCTCAGCCCCCCAGCCCCCCCGGCCCACTCACCCCTCCCCATCCCTCAGGGAGCTGTAGCCCTCACTCATCTCGCGCACAGCCGTAGCGTTCTTCCAGAAGAGCAGCTCCACGAACGCCTTCTTGTTGGTGGCTGCCAGCGCGAAGAACTTACCCAGGATATATTTGGCCAAGGCCACCAGCTCCTGGGGGTGGAACAGAGAGGTGAGGGCAGCAGGATTGCACCGGGCCGGAATCGGGGTGGGGGTGCAGGGGGGAGTTGGGGCTGCGCCTCACCTGCTGGGCGCCGGGGTCGCTGAGGAGGCGTTGGAAGAGGGTGAAGAGGGAGAGCTGGAAGAGCAGCGCCTCCATGCGCAGCTGGCGGGAGAGGCGGTGCAGCAGCCGTGCAGCACAGTGGTTGGTGCGGGCGCTGTTCTGTGCGTAGCCCCGCAGCAGCAGTGCGCAGGCACGGACCACAGGCACGCAGGCAAACCTGGAACCCCCCCCCCCCACATAATTGGTGACCAGCACCGCGCTGCCCTCCCTGCGCCCCCCGCCCCCTCTTGGAGGCTCTCCTCACCGCTTCAGGTAGTCCATGAAATTGAACTCCTTCTCTGACACCCGCACTGCCTCTTCCTCCTCCTCCTCTTCCTCCTCCTCTTCCTCGGGCTCCTCCGGCTCCTCAGCCTCGGGGGAGGGGGCGGGCCCTGTGGGGGGCAGCGTTAGGGGCCCAGAGCTCCCCCAGACCCCACTGCCACGGGACAGGGCCGCGCACTCACGGGGCAGCGCAGCAAAGCAGATCTCACGCAGCAGCTGCGTCTCCTCGGCGGGCTCCGCGCCGGGGGGGCCGAAAACATCCCCTTCAGGCCACACTTCCCTGTGTGGAGGGCAGAGGTTGGCACCGCACCCCCACATCCTGAGGGGTGGGATGGGGCTGGGGGTACCTGGCAGAGCGCAGCAGCCGCAGGGCCTGGGGGGCCCCCCCCTCCCGCAGGCACTCCTGGATGCGCAGCAGAGCCACCGCGCGCTGCTCCTCCACCGGGGTCTCCGAGGCAGCGTCAAAAGGCACCACGTCCTCAGGGAGCGGCACCGTGCCCTGGGGGGGTCACTGTGTCACCCAGCGCCCCACGGCCACCCCTCACAGCAGGGCCCGTCCCTACCTGCAGGCAGTCCTGGAGTTGTTGGGCCACCGCTGCCCACAGCTCCTCCAGCTCGGCTGCGCCCGGCGGCTGCGGCGCTGCAGAGGCACGGGGCTTCTTCTTCCTCCTCACACGTTTGCTCTGCATGACGAAGGAGGGGAGGAGGGTCAGGAGGGACCGCAGGGACCCACGCGGAGCCTTGGAGACCCCAGCCCACCTGCACCACGAGGCCGGAGCGGCCGCGGCAGAAGCGCTCCAGCATTTGCAGGAAGAGATGCGCCGTCTCCACCAGGTCCCGCAGGAAGGCACGAGGCTGCTTCGTCTCATCGAACTTCCGAAAGAGCGCGAGGAGCAGCTCCCGGTACTCCATCAGATAGAAGATGTGGTCTGGGGGGTGGCGGGGGGACAGGGGCAGTGTGGACAGACAGACGGATGCGTGAGTGGTTGGACAGGGGGACGGACAGATGGACGGCGAGAGATTGGCGCACGGACAAAGACGCGGATAGAGAGACACGAGGAAAGAGAGCCGTGCAGACGGACAGAGGCACGGACAGACGGACAGAGCCATGGATGATGAACGCACGGATGGACAAAGGGACGGACTCACTCTTGATGACCTGACTGCTGTCCCGCACCGCCGGCTCTGCGCTGCGGTCCATCTCCTGCACCGTGCGCAGCAGCTCCTGGTACGCCTTCAGGGCCAGGTGCATCCTGCAGGAGGGACGGGGTGCTCAGGCAGTGCTGGGGGGGCTTGGGGCCAAAGAGGAGGCTGCGACCCCCACCTGCGCGCCCAGGTGGCCGCCTCCTTCTTGTCCATCAGGGCCATCTCGTAGTAGTTGGTGAGGTGCTGCTCGATGAAGTGAAAGGCACGCACGCTCACCGTCTCCGACACCAGCTCAGCACGGAACCCCCGGCCACGGTTGAAGGCCATGAAGAAGGCGGTGGCCCACAGGTAGTACGTCTCATCGTGCTGCTGCGCCTTCTCCCGCAGCAATTGGTCCTGGGGGGCGCGCGGGGGAACTCAGCACCGGGGGGACCCCGGGTGGGGGCTGGCCTGAAGTGGGGGGGGACGACTCCCACCCTCACCTTGACCAGCAGCATCAGGCGGTTGTAGCAGTCCTCCAGGAAGTCCTGGCAGAAGCAGCTCAGGAAGAGCCGGACGTTGCGGGCGGAGCGCCGGGGGGGTCCCGGCTCAGGGGGGGCCCAGCGACGCCGCGGCACCCGGCGCGTCTCCTTGCCCAGGTCGTGGCTGTAGCTCTGCAGCTGGGGGGAGAGAGGAGAGCACGAGCTGTGCCCCCTCAGCACCACTGCGAGCCCCTCGACGCCGTTCCGAGCCCCCCCCGTGCTCCCCATCCCCATACTCACGTTGTGCAGCCCCTTATGGAAGACAACATCGTGCTCCCCGATGGCCTTCAGCCCCTGGATGACATAGGAACCGCGGAAACGGGAGTGTCTGGAGGGAGGAACGCACGAGATGAGCAATGCTGGCCCTACCACAGGGTTCTGCCCCCCTCCAGCGCCCTTCCCACCTGGACGGACGCTGCAGCGCCCGCGCTCTCTGCTCTGCTTGCTCCCGCTGCCGCAGGCTCTGCAGCTCCCGCGTCTCCTCCCCGCACTCGGCGCCTGCCCGCCCCTGACCCAGCGCTGCCAGCTGCTCCGGGCTCTGTGGGGCGGGGGGTTCAGCGCGGCCGGATGGGGGCCGGGGGTGGGCCCTGCACCCCCCACGCCCACCTGGTCACGGAACATGAGGGAGACGATCTCGAGGACGTGCAGAGCCCACTGCTGCTCAGCCGGCGTGCTGGCCAGGAACTTGAGCAGGTCGTCCATGCCACTGATGTGCAGAGCCCACAGCACGCGGTCGTGCACGCTGGCATCGCCATCCACACCCTGGGGGGCGGCACAGGGCGGGGGCAGCATGCAGGGCACCTTCCCGTGGGGATCCCTGGGTCTGTACCCCCCTCCCCTCCCATTACCTGCTCTGCAGCGGGGTCGGGGGGCACGTGCAGCACATTGCGCACCAGCAGCAGGATCCGCTCGATCAGCAGCGCGTCCTCCTCCTGCCTCTGCTCCCAGTCCTGCAGTGCACGGCTGTCAGAACTCCCACAGACCTCCCCAGACCCCAGCCCCATAGCTGCCCCCTGACCCTCAGCCGCATTGACCCCCCCCGGACCCCCAGCACCCACCAGCTGCAGCACTTCGTACAGCTTCTCGCTCAGCACCCCAAACACCTTCTCACTGGCGAACGCCTGCATAAAAAACCCTTGGTGAGCTCTGTGTGTCTGGGGGGGGTTTGAAGACCCCCCACCCGGAGTCACCCCGCGGCTGCACCCTCACCTCTTTGTACGCCTGCAGGTAGGACAGCACCTGCAGGAAGTGGTGCCGGGCGGTGGCGTCCGACGGCACTTTGCCAAAGCAGAGCAGCGCCGGCTGCGTCAGGTTCACCATCAGCCTACGGGGGGCAGTTGGGGGCGCTGGACTCGGGACCGCTGCCCACGTGGGAGCGCAGCCCCGCGCCGTCCCCGCAGCTGCCCGGTACCTGACGACGGCATCGAAAAGGCTCCGGTCCCGCGGGTACTGAACGAGCAGCGGCAGCAGATCGTTCTGCAGGATCTGCGCTGCTCCCAGCTGCTGCCGCACGTCGCGGCTCTCGTCCTCGTGCCGGAGGTACCGGATCAGATCCTTCACGCTCTCTGCGGGAGGGGCGCTCAGAACTCCGCATCCGCCCGGTTTCTTCCCCCTCCCCCCCATTCCCCGTGCCGTACCGAGGCAGTCGGGCTCGCGGTGGTACACGTCGCCCTCCAGGTAGCCCAGGGCGCTGCAGGTGGCCAGCAGCTCGCAGTTCATCATGTACCAGTCCATGCAGCGCGGGGCGGGCGCGGGGAGCCGGGCAAGACCCGGCGGGGCGGAGCGGCCCGACCCCGGTCCCGGGGCACCGGGCGGCTCTGAGGGTCCGGGCCGCGATCGCGATCCCGATCCCGATCCCGATCCCGGTACCGAAAGCCCCCAGCCCCGCACGCTCCCGCTGCCGTTACACAACCGGCCCAGTTCCCGCGGCTCCCGCCCCGCCCCGCCCCGCCCCTCCCGCCGTCCCCCGCCGGAGGCCTTAAAGCGGAAACTCCAGAACAGAGCCGGTCAGCTCCCCCCCTCCGCCCACCGCCCGCTACAAGCGGAGGCCACGCACCGCAGCACCCTTCTCCTCCCTCATCCCCCCTCGGGGCGCCCACTCCTACACCCCCGCTCTCCCCCCACCGAGCTGCTCCCCACTCCCCACCCCGCGATCACCTCGACGTTGCCCTTTTAAGAGCGGCTCAGGCTGCACGGTGGCCCCTCCCCCTGGGCGGGGCATCGCCTCGGGCGCGGGAAGGCGCCGCTCCGCGCTCCCCCCCCGCACGCGGTGCCCCCCGCCTCCCCTCCGCCCCCCCCCCGCCCTCCGAGAGCGGTTACCAAAATAAAGCGTAGGTTTAATTCACCGAACACGGAGCTCCCGCCGCGGCGGGGCGGGGCCGGCCGTCGGGTGCCGTTGGCCGCCGCGCTCCCGCCGCCCCGCACACACACGCACGCACCACACGCACCGCATCGGCGGCCCCGACACAGCAAAGGCGGCCCCGGGTTTGGGGCTGGGACTGGGGGGCGGCCCTACAGCCCCTGCGTCTTCAGCTCCAGCGGTTCCGCCGGCGGTTCGGGGGGCGGCGCGGCGGCGGGCGGCTCCCCCCGCAGCACGGCCAGGCGCTCCGCCATGCTGCGCGCCCGCGGACACAGCGCCAGCTCGTACAGCAGGGCCGCCAGCGCCGCGCCCAGCAGCGGACCCGCCCAGAACACCTGCGGGGGGCGGCGTGGGAGGGGGCGGCCAAGGGGTCCCACATCCGACCCCCCCCGACCCGATAGAGGGGCGGCCGCCACCCCCCCGTGCAGCCATCACTGAGCCCGAGGAGTGGGGCGATAAGGGATGCGACCCCCCGCGGCGGGGAACCCTCGGGGCTTCTGCAGCCGGCGGGGTTGTGGATGGGATGGGATGGAGAGGAATGGGACCGGGGTGGGCTGGGACGGGGGGGGGGGGTTGGGTTAGGCTGAAAAGGACCGGGGTCGGACTGGGATGCGCTGGGACGAGATTGGGACGGATCGGGTTGAGCTGAGGTGCACTGGGATGGGACTGGGATGGGATGGCAGCGGGTTGAGGCAGAGCGGGGTGGACTGGGGCAGGACGGGGATGGGCTGGAACGGACCGGGCCGGGCCACAGCGCCCTCCCCACTTACCCAGTGGTTGGCGAAGTTGCGGGTGATGACGGCGGGGGCAAAGGAGCGCGCAGGGTTCATGCCAGCACCAGTGTACGGGATCTGCGGGGAAGGAGGGGGCGGTGGGTGCCGGGTGCCCCCCCCCCGTCCCGCGGAGCTGCCACCCCCCCCTTACCCCGAAGAGGTGGCCGAGGGTGAGGGAGAAGCCAACGGGCAGCGCCGCAGAGCCAGGGCGCCCGTCATGGCGGTCGTCGAAGCTGGCGAAGACGCAGAGGATGAACTGAGCCGTCAGCAGCAGCTCCACCACCGTGCCCTGGCCCGGGCCCACGCTGGGGTGCAGCTGTGGGGGAGAGGGGCTCAGCGCCGGCTCCCAGCCTCCCAGACCTCGGCTGCCCAATTCCCCATCAACCCATCACACCTTCTCCCCTCTCCCCAAGTCCCTATTTCCCTTCGGCCACCCCCGCGAGTCCCAGACGCCCCCAGCCCACCCGCTTCCCCCCACCGCAGCCCCCTGTTCTCTCCTCCCCCTCCTCCAAGCCCCCCATTCTGCCCCCGGAGCCCCCACCCCCCCGCCCCGCTCACCGCACTGAGGCCCAGCGTGCCGCGCACGGCGGCCGGTGTCACCCCATAGAGGATGCCGGCCCCCGCCAGGGCACCCAGCAGCTGAGCCAGCAGGTAGCCCAGGGCGCGGGGCAGGGAGAGCTGCGAGGCCAGCAGGAAGGCCAGCGTGACGGCCGGGTTGATGTGCCCGCCGCTGACGTGCCCCAGCGCCTGCACCAGGGTGGCTTGGGCCAGCCCGAAGGCCAAGGCGGACCCCAGGACCCCGTGGGGGCCCGGGGCCCAGCGCAGCGAAGCCCCCAGCCCCAGCAGGGTGTAGAGGAGGCTGCCCAGGAACTCGGCCAGGATGGCCCTCCAGAAGGAGGACGAGCGCAGCTCCCGCATGGCCCGGCCCCGCTGCGGCCCCGCTCCCCTCCCGGGGGCCGCCCGCACCCACCTTTATAAGCCCCCCCCCAGCCGGCCCCGGGGGTGGGACCCCACCACCGCCACCCCCCCTTAACTGCTTCGCTGCCCGGGATGTGGGGTGGGCGAGGTGCTGTGCGGGACCCCGGTGCCCCCCTCAGGTGTGGTTCCACCGCCCCGACAGAGTGGGGACCCCCCAGAGCTGCGTCCCCCACCCTTGGGGATGCCGGCTGGGGGGTGGCTCTGACCCATAGGCACCCTCTATAGGGCCCAGGGTCAACAACATACTTGGGGCTGTGGGCAACACTGTGACACCCCTCCGCCCCCCAGCCAGCATCTGGGGGGCACTATGGGAGGGCAGCACTGGGAGCCAGCCTGCCCCAACCCCACACATCGTGGGGGCTGCAGGTGCCCCATGCCCAGCCCCACATCACAGGGGTGCAGGTGCCCCCCCGGGGGCTGCCGCTGCTCCCCCCCACCCCCCCGCCTGGCTCTGGTGCATTCAGGCTGGCTTAGCAGGCACTAAGCCCCCGGCCGGGGGGGGATTAGGGCCGAGCGCGGCCATTGGCGCCCGCAGGAATCTGCCGGGGCTGCAGAGGCTCCGACAAAAGGCTTTGCTGCGCTCAGCGCCCACACAAGGCAGGAGCAGCCCCCCAGCCCCCACCGCGGGGCCAACGGGGGGTACGGCATGGGGGGAGTGCAAGGAGAGGCCCTGCAGTGACCCCGTGCACTCAGACCCCCCCCCCCCCCATCCCACAGCACCACTCCATGCTCATCTCTGGTCCAAAGCCGCCTTTAATCCCCACGGGGAAGAAGATGCTTTGAGGGGGGGGGAGAAGGCGGCAAGAGTGCAGAGCCCCCCGGTTCTCCCATCAGGCCGTGCCCTGGCCCTGGGAGGCCGGGGGGGTACGAGCAGCACTGAGGGGGGCAGTGGAAGGTGAGGAGGGGGAAGGGCTGGTGGTCTCCACCAGTGCCACGTCCCGGCAGGTGAGGCAGGCACACAGCTTCTCCCGGGAGGCACCAGGGCTGAAGATGAACTCGTAGCAGAGCCCAGCCAGCACGGCACCCAGCACCGGTCCCAGCCAGTACACCTGGGGGAGGTCAGTGGGAGCAGTAGGAGCAGGGATACCCAGGGTGGCACAGGGGTCAGGGGCTGCCAGGGGATGCGGGGCCCACAAGAGGGATGGAGACTGACCAGGGGGAGCTGCTCCAGGGGTGAGGAGGGAACCACGTTTGGGATGGAGCAGGAGGGCCAAAGGATGGGGGGGGGGGGGACCTGTGCTGTGATGGGGGACCGGGAGGAGCCCATCTGGGGATGCCGTGAGGGTGACTCAGGGGGAGTGACTGAAGGGGGGGGCAGGGACTGCTGTCCTGGGGGAGGATGGGACGGGAGCCCATCCCCACAGTGGGTTTTCTGGGGGAACCAGCAGTTCTGTGACTCACCCAGTGATTGTCCCAGATGCCGGTGACGACGGCAGGCCCCAGTGAGCGGGCCGGGTTCATGCTGCCCCCCGAGAACGGCCCCTGGGGGAGCAGGTCAGGACTGGCCGGGCCAGGGGGCCACAGACGGGGGGCACTGGGGGGTCCTTACCGCAGCCAGAGCTCCAGCAACGATGGCACAGCCCAGGGCCAGCCCGGTGGGGGCAGCCGCGTGGTCGGTGGAGGCAAAGACGGTGAGCGCCAGCTGGAAGGTGGCAAAGGTCTCCCAGCACAACGCCTGCCCCGCTGTCCCTGCCGCACTCACCTGCGGGCACAGCAGAGCCTCAGCACCCACCGGCACCGGGAGGGGCACCGGGACGGGGAGGCTCACCCTGCTGACCATTGCGCTGTCATCCGGCAGCGCCAGGCGTGCAGCCGTGGCAGCCAGCACAGCCCCGGCACATTGCGCCAGCAGCGCTGCAGCCCCACGCAGGGCACCCAGTTTGTGGGTGCAGAGCAGCGCCAGGGTGAGCGCTGGGTTGGTCTGGGGCGCTCCGAGGGTGCAGCTCAGTGTCGCAGCCGCCAGCCCCCCGGCCAGGGCTGGCACCAGGGGGCTGGGGGCAGCTGAGGCTCCCAGGACCACCCCAGTAAAGATGAGCGTTGCCACAGCCTCGGCCAACACCTCCCGCCAGAAGCGCCCGCTGTGCAGCTCCTGTGGGCACGAAGGGGAAGTCATGACGACGGGGTGCCATGGGGTGTCACGCTGATGAGACCCTTCAACAATTTGGCACCGAAACGATGGGGTGTCAGTGATGACAGATGGGGGCTGCCATGGTAACTGATGCCTCAGCAACCACGGTGACAAAGGGCGTCTTGGCAACAGGGCACCTTGGCAATGGGGTCACCATGGCAACTGCAGCAGCGCAGGAACGGAGCTCCCCTCTAGGGGCACACAGGGAGCCCCCCAGCAGGGCTCAGGGCCGGGACCACAGGCTACGAGGGCCACGAGCCTCAATCCCCTGGTAGGGACGGACCCCAGGGCCTCACAGCCAGGGCTTGGGGGTGGGGGGGGCTGGGGTCACGCAGCTCGCGAGGTCTTACCTCCCCTATGGCCATGGTGCAGCTGCAGGACCAAGGCAAGCACAGAGGATGCCTGTGGCAGGGGCGCCTCCCAGCCCCTGGTCCTGCCAACCCTCCTCGATTTGGGGAGGGTGCCTGCACCCAGGGCATCCCCAAAACACACGAGGGGTCTGCCAGCAGGGCACAGCCGTGGCAGGAGCTGCAGGGGCTTGAAATTGGGCTCGGGCACCCCAGGATGCTGTGGGTGCCATGGCAACAAGCAGGGGCACTTTGGGGTGTTGCCACGACAACCAACACGAGGTGCTCAGGTGGGAGATGAAAGGCAGAGATGAAAGGAGGGAATGCAGAGATGAAAGGGGGGGGGGGGCAGCAGATGAGGCCAGCCCTGCTCATGCTGCAGTGCCAGGGATGCCCAGTTCTGCAGGCAGCAGGAGAGGACAGGAGGGGCCGTGGAATTGGAGCTGCCCCCAGCCCTGCTGCAGTGGGGGGGGGGGGGGGCCGGGCCCCACGTCCCTGCCAGCTCAGCAGCCCCACACATGGCGTGAGTCAGCGGGTCGCTGCCCAGGGCCTGGCTCAGCACAGCCCCGAGGCCGCCCCGAAAGAGCCAGAACAATCCCAGCACAAAGAGCCTGGATGGGGACGGCCGCCCTGACACGCAGCCCTGCCCCCAGGCCGTGGGGGGGGACGGACGGCACGCTGCGGTTCCACGGCCCGCAGGGGCCCTCTGTGGGGCACGGGTCAGGCCGCACATCCTACCTCAGCCCCACAGGAGACCCCAAGGGTTCCTGGGACCCGTTACCCTGCCCTATGACCCCTGCTGAGGACCCTCTCCTGCCCCACAGACTCCTCCCGGCGCCCCCCACCCCACGGAGGCCCCGCTGCCCCCAAACCCGCTCCTTCCTTCTGGGCCCGAAGGAGAACCGCGCGAGGCGCCAAGATGGCGGCCCCCCGCCCGCCTTCAGCCAGAGTCACGCGGTGGGGGTGGGAGGTGCCAAGATGGCGGAGAGACACGTGACCGACAGCTCCAAAATGGCTGCGCCCATGGATACGGTGCGACCGCCTCCGCTGTGGCGGTAATGGCGGCGGGGGGCGGAGCTTTGCGGTCTTAAAGGGACCGCGCCCTGCTTATAGGCCGCGGCCGTTGCAGGTCCCGGTTACCGGACTCCCCGAGCGTGGGGTTGTGTCCCCAGAAATCCCCTTAAGGAGCGGAGCGGGCCGCTCCCCGAGCCCTTCACTGCTAGGCCGCAGCCGCCTGCCGGGGCCCGCCCCGGATCCCGCGTCACGTCAGGCGGAGCCGCCCGCCCCGCCGCGCGCTCCGGGATGCTGCTCTCGGTGCCGCCGCCGCGCCCGGGCCTGGCCGCCTTCGCCTGCAGTAAGGGCGGAAAGAAGGTAAGTGGGGCGGGGGGGAGACGAGGCCTAGGTCGCCCTTCTCTCCGGGCCCGCCGCGCCAGGCCTCACCGCCCGCCCCTTCGGGCCTCTCTCCGGGCGGGCGGCGGGGCCCGGTGGGTCGCGGCCGGAGTGGGAGTCGGCCCCGACCTGCGCTGGGCCTCGGTGACACCGACCGTCCTCCCCTCCACCGCCCCCAGCAGCCCTATGTGCCGCCGTCGCAGCCCATGGGCCCCCCCAGCCCCAGCCCGTCTTCCGGGGGGGCGGGCGAACAGCTGAGCAAAACCAATCTGTACATCCGGGGGCTGCACCCCGGGACCACCGACCAGGACCTGGTGAAGCTGTGTCAGCCGTGAGTGGGGCCTTGGGGGGCTTCGATAAGGGGGCGGGGGGCAGTTTGGAATCCCCCTCCCACATACTTGATTCCTTGTGCAGTTATGGGAAGATCGTCTCCACCAAAGCCATCCTGGACAAGACGACCAATAAGTGCAAAGGTGGGGTGGAATTGGGGCCTGGGGGTCCATCTTTCTGTATTCAGGGTACAAAGGGGGAAAGAGGGTAATGGTTTGGGGGTCCTTTTTACCGTGTTTAGAGGAAAGCGGGAGGGGTCCAGGTTTTGGGGTCTGATGGAAGTGGGGCGTGGGGGGTGGAAATCAGCGAGTTGGGGTCGTTTTAACTGTGCTAAAGGCAAGGGAGCTCGGAGGTATCAGGGGTTTGAGGTCCCTGTTGCTGTATTTAGGGTCTGGGAGGAGGAGGGGATCAGAGTCTCGGGGTCCCTTTCACTACGTTTAGGGTCTCAGGGGAAAAGAAGAGTGTCAGGGTTTTGTGTCCCATTCGCTGTGCGTAGAGACTAAGGGGAAAATGGAGTGCTGGGTTTTATGGCCTAAGGGGAGGGGATTAGAGAGAGCTGTGGGGTCGCTTCCAGTGTATTTAGGGACGAAGACGAGGAAGGATGGTTTGCATTTTGGGGCCTTTTTGCTGCACTTACTGTCCAAGGAGGAGGTGGGGGTGTTGAGGTTTGGGGGTCTGAGTGGTAGGGGTGGGATTGGAGGCTTGGGGGTCTCTCTCACTCTGTCCCTCCTCCCCAAGGCTATGGCTTCGTGGACTTCGACAGCCCCACGGCAGCGCAGAAGGCAGTGACGGCTCTCAAGGCCAGCGGGGTGCAGGCACAGATGGCCAAGGTAAGGCCCGATGGGGGGCACCCCAACATCCAGACCCACCCCAGCGGGCGTCCCTGCTGCCCCCTGATCCCTCCCCACAGCAACAGGAGCAGGACCCCACCAACCTCTACATCTCCAACCTGCCGCTGGGGGTGGACGAGCAGGAGCTGGAGGCGCTGCTGAAGCCCTTTGGGCAGGTTGTGTCCACCCGCATCCTGCGGGACCCCCACGGGGCCAGCCGTGGCGTGGGCTTCGCACGGTACGGGGCTGCGTGGGGCTGGGGGCGGGCGAACAGCGAGGGGCTGCAGAGGCCCTGGGGGCACCCAGAAGGGCCCCTCCAGCCGTTCTCCCACCCACCAGGATGGAGTCCACGGAGAAGTGCGAGGCTGTCATCACCCACTTTAACGGGAAATACATCAAGACCCCCCCAGGGGTGCCAGGTGGGCTTGGGGTGCGGGGACGGGGGGCTGGGCGCTGGCTGGTGATACTGACAGTCCTCCCCGCAGCCCCCCCGGACCCCCTGCTCTGCAAGTTTGCAGATGGAGGGCAGAAGAAACGGCAGAGCCAGGGCAAGTTTGTGCCCAATGGGAGAGCCTGGGCTCGGGACAGCGACGCGGGTAAATGGGGGTCTGAGAGTGGGATGGGGGCACAGCGAGGGGCCGCTTCTTGGGGGCAGCACTGTGGGGCAGCTCTGAGCCCTCTGTCCCTTCCTAGGGCACCGTGACCTTGGCCTACGACCTGCCACGGCGCTGCAGAACGGGTGAGCGTCCCACAGCCCCCATGGTTGTGGTGGGAGGGGAGGGAAGGGGAGGGGAGATGGATGCAGCCTCCATCCATAACTGCCTCCACCCCCACAGGTTCTACCCCGCACCTTACGGCCTGGCCCCCAACAGGATGATTGCACCCACCGCCCTGGCTCCCTACCTGCCCTCACCTGTCTCCTCCTACCAGGTACATGGGAGCACGGGCTGGGGGTTCCTGCAGGATGGGGGTCCCTGCTGCAGGCTGGCTGCAGCCCCCCGCCCGCTGGTTGCCCTGCAGGTCCACAGCCCCACCTGGATGCACCAGTCCTACCTCGTGCAGCCCACGGTGAGCGCAGCAGGAGGCCACGTGGTCAGAGCCCCCACCCATTTCTATACACCCCACACCCCCGGCCCGAACATCCCAGCCCCACATCCCCCTGCTGTTCCAACCCCCCGTGTCCCCCTGCCCCACGGCCCCGCTCCCCCCACCCCTCCTGTCCCCCGCCCCTTGCTGATGGAACCATGCAGGGCACAGTGCTGGCCCCCGCCGTGGACCACGCCGTCCCCCTCCAGCCCTCAGTGGTGGCCCCCCTGGCCCAGCAGCTCGGCCACCTCTCCCTGGGCAGCGCCGGCACGGTAAGGACCCCCCCGGCTGCGACCCCCCCCCACTGCCCCCTCCCCAGCCCCCCTGATTCCTCCTCCCCCCCCAGTACGTGCCCGCTGCTGCCCTGCCTGGAGCCTTCCTCCCACCGTACCCCCCCGTGCCGCCCGCGGTGCCACTGGAGGTGAGTGCTGGGGGCACAGGCGGGGGGGGGGAGGCCCTGCAGTGCTGCAGGGGGGTCCCAGCCTCTTCCCAACTGCCCCACAGGACGGCGGCGCTGCACCCACCCACGGCCACGGCCCCGTGGAGTCGCCCTCTGAGCCCGGCGCCTTCCCCTACCCCTACCCCAAGTAGCAGCGGGGGGGGGGGGGGGCCGGCACCGAGGGACCCCCACCACTGCTGCCCGCCTTGTGCCCTGCCTCTGCTCCTCCTCCTCCTCCTCAGCAAGGTGGGGGTGGGGAGGAGGGGCTCACGCTTTTGGGGGGAGGAGGAGGGGGGGGGTTGTGAAGTGCCGGGGGTCCCGCAGCCCCCAGGGCAGCCCCCCCCGCTATGGGAGGGCTTTTGTTTTTCCTCCTGCGTTTTATAAAAAAGGAAAAAAAAATGACAAAAAAAAAAAAAAAAAAAAAAAAGGAAAAAAAGAAAAAGAAGAAAAACAACAAAAAACAGCCCCCCCCCCCCGGGGGAGTTGGGGCTCCCCCCCCCCCCCCCCCCCCGCAGCAGCCCCAGCCCCCTCCTTCCCCCCTCCCTTCCCAACCTTGTGCTTCCACGGCCCCGTGGCCCCTGCCAGGCCCCCCAAAGCTGCGGACGCCCCCCATCCCCCCGTGCCTTCTGCTGCCAGAGTGGGGAGGTGGGGGACAGCGATGGACCCCCCCCCCTCCCCAATAGGGTCCGGCGCCCCAGCCCCCCCAGCAGGCCCGGGGTGCTGCTCTCCCCCCCCACCCCCCCGCTGCAGGCCATTCCTGTCCCAGGGGGGCCTGGGGTTCTGCATGCCTCCCCCCCGCCGTCCCTTGCCCCCAGCCGTGGGGGGGGGCAGGACAAGTGCAATAACCCCCTGCTCTGCCCCACGGGCCAGCCAGGCACTTTAGACTCACCCCTGCGCCCCGGAGGCTGCTGACCCCCCCCCCCCCTATTCTCCCCCCCCTTCCTCCCACGCCCCCCCGCTTGCGCAAAGACAATCAGGGGGGGCCGCGGGGGCGCCTCTTTTAACCAAAGATTGGGGTTGCTGAGCTGCCCCGGCCTCCCCACTCCCCCTCCCCCCTCGCATCGTGAGCCCACGCTGTGGGTCTGTCTGTCTGTCTGTCTCCAAGGGGAGGGGGGGAGGCAGCCACCCTCCCCTCTTTGCTTCCAGCTCTGGGGCCGGCCGTGCCCCCCCAGTGCCAGCTCTGCCCAGCCCCCCGCCCCCCCCCCCGGTTCTTCCAGCCCCTCCCCAGCGCAGTGGGGTCCCCTGCCCCCCCCACAACAGCCGGGGCAGCGGGCTCCTCAGTCCCTCCGTGGGGCCGAGGGGCCCCCCCCGGGCAGCAGGGCCCCCCCTCCCACCACACATCTACCTCACCCCACAGCTCAGCGTGCGCTCAGCCCAGGTCTGCCGGGAGGGGAGGGGGGGGGGGAAGGGGCTGCAGCCTCTCGCCCCCCGCCCGCCCCGTCCCGGGCGGGCAGCGCTCCCGGTTTCCAGCCATCACCCACCTCTCCCGTTGCTGCTCGTGCCGGTGCCCCCCCCTCCCCACGGGGTGACCCCTGGGGTCGGGGGGGAGGCAGGGGTCCCCCCAGGAAGGAACCAAAGAGGGAGCCCCACACGCGGCCCCCCCGGCACTGAGCCCCCTCCTCTGCTGCCCGGGGCTGGGGGGGGGGGGGGGGGCTGGGATCCTGCCCACCTCGGAGGGCGGGGGGGGGGAATCTGAGCTGCGGCTGCGGCGCTGCGGCCCCCCGGCCTCCCCCCCTTCTTCTGCCCCCCCTTTAATTTATACGTTAGCGCATTTTGTACAGGTTTTTAAGTTGCTTTTTTTAAAAGGATCTGAGAGGTTTCTAGTTTTGTATTTCTTCCTCTGCTTCCGCGCTCCGGCCGGCCCCCCCCCCCTCTTCCCCCCCCCCATTTACAACCCTTCCCACCCCCCCGCCACCCCAAATTCAGCTCCTTCCTTACCCCCCCCCCCCCCCCCCCCCCCCCCAATTTTGGAGTTTTCTTTTTGTTTTGTTTTTAAATAAAACGGCAAAGAAAAGCACGGCTGCCTCTGTTGTGTGTGAGGGGGGGGAGGGGAATGGGGGGGGGGCTTGCTCAGGGGGGGTCCCAGCCCCGCGCCCTCCCCTCCAACCCCCCCCAAATGACGGCTCTGACAGCAGCTCTCTACCAAACGTGAGTTTTATTCGACACGCACGGTCTACAGCTCATGGTGGGGGGGGGGACAGCGACAAACGGGGGGGGGGGGGGGGGGACACAAGGAGGGGGAGGGGGGAGAAAACACCGGAATCTGCTTTGTTCTCCTTGAACCATTATTAAAAATGAGCTTGGTCCTAAAAATATAGAAAGAAATAAATTTAAATCCACAAAAACCTGTACATTTATCAAAAAGTCACTGCAACGAACACGGCTGGTCTAGAAAAGGGGGGGTGGTGATAAAGGGGGGTTTGGGGGGGGGGGGGGAAGGTGGGGGGGGGGCTGAACTCCAACGGACACAAAACGCTGCGGAGGATCCCGAAAACGGGGAAAAAAAAAAGAAATGAGGGGAAAAGAAAAGCAAACCCGACAGCTCCGAACAAAGCACAGATTGGGGGGGGGCGGGGGGGCGCCGTCCTTAGATAAAATATAAATATTTACGTCATATAAAGTCAGTTCAAATTCCACCTCTTTTTTTTTTTTCTTTTTTATCTCAAAGCAAAACAATAAAAATAAAAATTAAAAAGTTTTCTGAGGTTTTTCCGATAGAAAAAAGGCTACTTTGAGACGGGGGGGGAGGGGGAGAAGGGGGGGGGGGAAGGGGAGGGGGGGGCGGGACGCAGCCTGGCCCCCCCCCTCCCCCTCCAGGTAGGTGAGTTGTTTTCAGTGCTCTGTGGGGGCAGGGACCCCCCCTCCCCGCCGGCTGCCGACCCCCAGAGCAGTACCCGTATATCCTGACCGGCGGGGGGGGGGGCCCACTGCAGAACCCCAGGTTATCAAGGGGGGGGGAGGGGGACCCCCACCCAAACTCCCCAATCCCACCTGGCGCTGCACCCCCCCCCCCCAGCCTGGTGGGGTTGGATGGGGGGCAGCTCCTGCCTGAGGCTTCAAGTCCCTGCTGGGGGGGGGGAGGGGGGAGAAGAGGAAGACCTTCCCCCTGTCCCCGTCCCCCCCCCCCCCGTGGGGGTGCAGTAGCGTTCCTGAGGGGTCCCGTGGGGGTGTGGGGGGAGGGGGCCTCAATTCGGGGAGGGGGGGGGGTTGGAGGTTGGGGTCTTCCTGAGAAGTGGTGGTGGGGAAAGGGCTGGGGGGGGTCCCCTGCCCCCCCCCCCCCCACCCCCTTGGTCCCTGGAACCAGGCGGCTGGGGGGGTGAGGGGTGGGCAGCACCCAGCCCGGTGCATTTTGGGGGGTCCTACAGCAGAAGGGGCGCACCGGGGTGGGGAGGGCCCTCCTTAAAGTGTCTGCAGGGGGGTGGCGGGGGGGGCAGGGGGGGTTAAGTCCACTTTACTGGCCTTAATGCATGGAGACATTCACTACAAACTATTGCTATTATTAAATATTCCCAGCGGGGGGGGGGGGGGGGGGGGGGGGGGGGTTATTTGCTTTCCTCGTTTGTGGGGTGGGGGGGGTGAGGGGGGGGGGGGGGCTGCTTCTGTTTCGTCATCGGCAAACTAAAAATTTGGTAAAAGAAAGAAAGGAAAAAAAAAAAAAAAAAGCCTCTTTTTTTTGTTTTTTTTTTTTTGTCTTTTTTTTTTTTTTTGGCTTACACAGTTCTGCGGGGGGTGGGTGGGTGTATGGGGCGGGGGGGGGCCCTGGGGGGGGGGGGGGAAAGGGGGGGGGTCAGCAGGTAGCATCAGTGCTGGGGGGGGGCCCTGGTAGAATTCCTCCCAACGGCTCTGGAAGAAGCGCCTCATGCTGTGCCCTGCGCGGCCCACGGCCGAGTCGTCCTCGTTGAAGGTGCGGCAGTTGTCAAACACCAAAGTGGCATCGGCACGGAACTGGGCTGCACTCGAGTACCTGGGGAGGGGGGAGTTTGGGGGGGGGGGGGGGGAGGTGGGGGGGAGAAACGTTAGGGGTCACATCATAGGGGAGAGATGGTGGGGGAAGCGTTGAGGGGGGCGTAAAATGGGCGAGAGAGAGTGGGAGAGCTTACAGGGGAATTGGGGGGGTGCAGAAGGGCATCAATAGGGGAGGGTTGGGATAGAACAGCTGGATATGAGGGGGGGCGTGGAGGGGAGAGATATTATGGGATATAGAGGGAAGAGATATTGGGGGGACAGACAGGAATGAAGCGGGAGAATACAGGGAAGAATCGTTGGGGGAAATCAGGGGAGAGATATTGGGGAGCGATGTTGGGGGGGCACATAATAGGGGACAAAAGTTGAGGGGAGTTTACAGGTGTTGTGGGGCACATAGGGGAGAAATGTTGGGGGTTCACAATAGAGGAGAAACGTCAGGAGCGTAGAGGAGAGAGACTGGGGAGGATATTCAGGGAAAAAGGCAGGGGGATACAGGAGAGAGAGACTGGGGGGCACGCAATGGGGGAGGGGGGTTAAGGGGGTCACAGAGGGGAGAGAAGTCGCGGGGGGTCACAGGAGGAGCTCTGCACTCACCCGCCCCGCAGCAGCCGCACTCGCATGGTGCCAAAGTCCATGGGGTGTTTGATGATGCGGCGGTAGCCGGGCACCAGGCGGGGGTTGACGGGCTCCAGGAAGGGCCAGGCGTCCTCGTGCGCCTCCATCTCCATCAGGATGATCCTGGAGGGGGGGAGGGACGGGAGCTGGATGGGAGGGGGGGCGGAGGGGGGCGGCTCCGGGGTTGCGGACCCCCACCCCGACCCTGCCACTCACTCGCAGAAGGTCAGATCGCCGGGGGGGCCCCGCGGGGGGGCTGCACGCCGTTTGGCCGGGGACGCCCCCTCGGGACGCCGCGACGACGCCCTGCGGCGCGGGCTGCCGTCCTCCACTGCGCCCCCCCCGGGCACGCGGCCTCGCTTCCGCTTCTTCCCCCGCCGCGGGGTGAGGGGCTCCGGGTACTGCTGTGCCTGGGGGGGTCGGGGGGACACGAGCGAGTTGGGGGGTCACCAACGGCGCGCGGCCCCGACGGCGGCACCGCACGGCCCGGACCGCCCCGTACCCGCGAAACGCAGACCGAGCAGAACCAATCGCCCTCGGGCACAGCTGCCATGCGCGGGCGGTGGCAGTAGAGGTGGCAGCCGCGGTCGCAGCCATCGCACAGCAGCAGGTTCTCATCGTCGTCCCCGCGCCGGCACACCAGGCACGTCTGGAAGGGTGGAGGGGCTCAGG